CATGATAAACTGAGAAAAGATTGACATTATCAAGGATTTCATTTTAGTTGGTACACTGTCAATGCCCATGGAAGTTGCAGTCAAGAAATCCAAAGACATATTACATTGGGCAAATCTGCTGTGAAAGGCCTCTTTAAAAAGTTAAAACCTGAAGATGTCACTTTGGAGTATAAGGTACACTTGAGCTAAGTCATGGTATTTTCACTTGCAACGTATACAAGTGAAAGCTGGACCATGAAAAGAAAGACGGACAAAGAGTTGACACTTGCATCATGGTGTTAGTAAAGAATACTGAATATACCATGGCCTCCAGATCAATGTTCAAATCTGTCTTGAAAGTATAGCCAGAATGCTCCTTAGAAACGAGGGTGGTGAGGCTTCATCTCACTTACTTTTGACATGTTATCTGGAGGGACCAATCCCTGCAGAAGGGCATCATGCTTAATAGACGCTCAATGAAAGAGAGGAAGACAGTCAACAGGATGGACTGACACAGCTGCTGAAACAATAAGCTCAAGCATAGTAACAGTTGTGGGTCTAGGTAATTGCTAAGGTGCAGAATGATACCTGAAATTCATCATGTGGCCAAATTCTAATGAAGTCAGTTGAGTTTTCTTTTCTATCATACCCTAAGCAATATCCAGAAATGTTCTAAGATACTTCTTTCTATAAGAAAACTTGAAAACATTTACAAATTCATCCTACATATAAAGCCATAAAATTAATAAATATAATTTAAAAGAAAAAAATAAAATGTATTCCATTCTAGAAGGCAGGGAAGTAAATTTATATAGAGAATCTGCTTGAAACATTCCATGAAGTTGCTGACTTTCAAATCATCTCTCCTTCAAGTAGACAATCCTTCTGATCAGAGAAATATATCACTTGAAGGCTGAGAGCCCAATACTATACTAAGAGAGAGTCCCAACCAGAGATGTGATAGTGATCTTGAAGTAGCTACCTTAAGTTTAAGAGAGGAGTGGGCAGAAGCCTGAAAAAGAGAATCAACTACAATGTCATTTTTCAATGCAGCATTACTGCCAGCCTAAGTGCTGGTATGGTGCTAGGATAAGTACTGGGCTGCTAAATGCAAGGTCAATCGTTCAAGCCCACCAACCACTCCTCAGAAAACCTATTCAGAGTCCATATGAGTCAAAAACAATTCCATGGCACTTGACAATAACAAGATGGCAGAGGCAATTGAATTAGGGAAGAAGAGGAAGCACTGTTTGCTCTTTGTACTGGTTCTTATTTCCATTGATGCTGCAAGTTACATGATAGTGAGCAGTAGGAAAGCATCATTATGGACGTTCCAAAACTTGAGTGAATTAGTTAAGAGAAAAAGATATAAGATGAAAAGGCATTTGCCTTTTTTGGCTGTAATCTTGGCAGTCTCCAATCCTTTGAATCACTATTTTGGTCATCTTTCATTTCAGAGTGATATATAATTGAGAAATCATTGTAGTGAGAGCAAAAAATCCAGAGAGCTTAGTCAGTTAGGTGCTACCCACAGTTAATTAGTAGATATTCTTATTGTTGGAGTTTTACCTTAGGAGCCACTGATTGTGGTATTTTATCCTGATTTGACGCAGGCAAAGTCTCTTGAGAATTCAGGTCTTTGTTAACAGAGGCAGCTCCCTCGTGAATCTTTCCTAAACAAAGAGAAAGACAGAAGTTATCAAATGGCATCTCCAACTATTAAAAAAACAGACCAAAAATGGGAACCTACAGTAACCAAAAGAAAAGAATAAAGACTAGAGCAGAAATAAATGAGACAGAAAACAGAAAAAGTATAAAAGAATCAACAGGAAAAGAGCTGGCTCTTTGAAAGGATTAAGAAAATTGACAAACCATTAGGAAATATAACCAAAGAAAAGACGGAGAAGACACAAATAATACACATTAGAAACCATATGGGCAATGTCACAACGGAACCACTAGAAATAAAAAGGATAATAAAAGAATGAAGAGTTGTACGCCAACAAACTTTAAAACTTAGAAGAGATGGATACTTTTTTAGAAAAACATGACTTACCTACACTTACACAGACTGAAGTAGAAAACTTGAAC